CCCGGTCTACACCTGGGCAGCCAAGTCGACAAAAGGAAGTCCGGAAAGTGAGACTTGAACTCACGACCTAAGGATATCTGAAGAATTACAGTCCTCCGCTCTTCCAACTGAGCTATTTCCGGCTATGACTTTTTGAGAACGACTAGTGTGCCTCCGAGTCCGGCTTTTGCATCTGCGGGTTTGCTGGCACATCGGACTCCGCTCTCGCAATTAAGCACGATTTCTCCCTCTTGCACACATCACTTGTATCTGGCGCTTTCGGGAATTCAATACCGGCTACCTTCTGGCAGCATCGCGCCTCACTCCTGCCGCACTCCCACATCCGCTCCGGCTCTGATGTCTCATGCTCTTGGTCCCGTGTAACCATCCTTGCTTTCTCGCCGCTCTCCCTCTCTGCATATCTTCTGCTAGTATGCAGCTCCATCACTTCCTCGGTGGTATGTTCCGCCTCTTTGGAAACGCCATTCTCTGTCGATGCATGGCCGCGACCTCCGTCCTCTTCTGCATCATCAAGCTCAACAGAGGCCATGGTGGTTTGGGAGACAATAGCTATTAAACAGAGAGAAAGCAAGACTAATCAATGGGGAGACGAATGAATGAGAGAGCGGATGAGTAGCAGCGAAGATAAGATAGCAAGGCAGAAGATGGAGGTAGAAGACGGACGTAGAAGATGGAGGTAGAGGACAGAGGCAGAGGCAGAGGCAGAGGGCAGAGGCAGAGGGCAGAGGCAGAGGACAGGGGCAGAGGACAGAGGCAGAGGACGGAGGCAGAGGACGGAGGCAGAAGAGGAAACCAGTACGTTTATATCAGGTGGAAAGCAGAGAGGGCACTTGCAGGCAGTCTGCCGGAGAGCAGCAGTGGCAGGCATACTCGTGCTGAGAGGGAGGCGAGCCGGTGGTTTGGACGAGAGGTCGGTGCGGATGTGGAAGTGTAGCCAGAAGGAAGCCACAGCTGGTCGGAAGTGGCAGCAGGAAGGAAGTCACAGTCGGACGGAAGTAGCAGCTGGAAAGAAGAAGAAACCCATAGAGACTGAAAAGAACAAAGCGATAGTAGGCAGAGAGGTGAATGGCTAGATAGGAGAGGAAGAGCATGGGGAGGGAAATTAGTGGTGCGATCGCTGATAATGGTCACTACGGTTGCTGGTGGGGAGCCAGCTTGACGCTCCAGCAGCAAGTAGGTGCTCGGTAGCTTGAAAGTGACTATGCTACCTTCTAGAGCGCGCGTTATGGGAGAGAGATATCGGTATGGGAAAGATATTGGATATTTACTGGTATGTGGCCAGACGCCTCGGGAAGAGTCACCGGTGACTACCGAGCACAGCCACTAAAGCACATTTTGTTCGTCCTCCATGGATAAGACCCCTCGGTTTGAAAATAGCGTGTTGCATTTGTGAGTCTACTGACACGCTGAACTCCGCTCTCGCAATTAAGTACGATTTCTCTCTCTGTCCCTCTTGCACACATTGCTTTTACTCCAGCAACTGGCAGGAATCGGATATGATCGCACTGCATCGTGCCAAGGCTCTTCTCTGGAGGTTGTTTGGTTTGCTAGAGGATACACCCACTGTCTGACTGATGGATGTTGAGATTCTGATGTGGAGACCACCTGATTGGACAGTGGACCTCCCACGTTGCCAGAAACAATCTTATCGAGATAACCAAGACTACCAAGATAACAAAGACTACCAGATTAACCAAGACTACCAGACTAACCACGACTACCAAGATAACCACGACTACCAGGATCCCCACGAGTACCACGACCACGAGTACTAACCTTGTTCTAAGAACCCTACTTAAGCATTTCCGTAACCATACCCTCCTTTACCCTCACATCTCTTTCCTCCTCATCATCTGATCCTCCTACCACTCTCTGCCATACGTCCTTTTCTCTTTCCTTAGTTCTTTAACCATTTACCTGCCCACTTAGCCCAATACCCCCGCCACTCGTCTTCTACACTGAAACAGAAGACAGTATGGCCGAGTGGTTAAGGCGTTTGACTCGAAATCAAATTCCCTCTGGGAGCGCAGGTTCAAGTCCTGCTGCTGTCGAATTCCTTTTGTGCGTGCGCGGTGTGTTGTGCTCCGCCCGCGCAGCTTTGACTTTTAACCGGTGCCACCGTGGTAGCTCTGGGGCTCACGACATGGCTCGAATCACGCAGCTTTGACTGCCTTTTTAGGCTGACTTGCTGGTGTGTGCCAGAATGCGTGCGGTGCTGGCTGTGAACAATATCGGCGTATCTTGCGGCCAATGTTTGAGAGGGACAGCAGAGGTGTGAGCAATTGTGCGCAATATTAGAGCTAAAAGAGATGGGGAGCAACATATAAGAGACTTGGCATTGTGAACGACACCCGCTGCGACGGCTATACACATTCACACACACACACACACACACACACACACACACACACACACACGCACACACACACACACACACACACACATGTGGCTCGCCACATCACATGCATGGTTTAAAGCGACTGCTGTGCTTTGTGTCGATTCACGACATGTGTAGGACAGATTCGCTACCCGGCCGGATGAGCCAGCCTACCTGCCTGCTTTGTGAGAAAATCAATGCCCAAATGACTTGCCTTCACAAACAGCGTCCTATGCACTGTGGTTCGGCGCCGATTGATGCTGGCTGGTGTTGGTGCGCGGACAGGGTCAGCCTACAGCCACTACCTACGTTTTCCTTCTCACATCCACACTTGCAATACCTTGCCCCCATTTCATGGTGTGTTGCCGCTCCAAACCCGCTCTGGTTCTAGGCTGCGGGGATGGCAGCGGCTGGCCAAGCCACCCATAGCTCTGCATCTCTCGGGAATTGGTGGTCCGTTGAGCGATTTGGCCCACCGGGGATGTCCTGTGCTACGGTCTAAAAAATGAGGTGGCCCAAACCAGCCCCTTTGCCGAAATGATCCGAGTCGCAGCAAATTCTGAGCAAAATCAAAAACAATGCTTCGTGTGAGGCTCGAACTCACGACCTTGGGATTATGAGACCCACGCTCTACCAACTGAGCCAACGAAACTAACCTGTCTGCATCTCGCTAGCAGAGCTCGCAGCGCCAGCTATATCCACAGCGCTGCTCGCACGAGATTGGCGGCTCTTACCATGCTCACCCGGCTGGAGCCACTCCTGTATGCCGGGCACCAGTGGACATCCCTCTGCTTCGGCAACAGCCGCAGGCTCTTCAAGCAAAAAAAAAAACCCGCTTGGCTTTAAACCTATTGGAAACAATGGCGCAGGTCAGAAGAACGAACGAAAGACTCCAAAAGAGGTGGGCTGCGAGTGGAGGTCTGCAGAGGCGGGGATAAAGAAGGGAGGTTGTCTTAGGACAGCACCACTGAGTGCTTTGTATTCAACGACACTGGAGAGCCTCTTGCCTACCAGGCAGTCGGTACCTCCGACACGGCGAGGCACCAGCGTCCGCACTACTACATCCTTGTCGTCTTAGGACATCGTTGTTGACCCAGTCAGCACCAGCAGCACACATTGCCACTGCTGCCGTCGGCAGAGATGCGGCCGAGGACTCCACCCACAGCCAACCAGCAGCTGCTGCTTCACTCGAGGCCGCGCATCAGTCGAATGTCCTGGACTGATCTCCCATCTCCTCTCTTGAACACAGCACGTAATCGGCCACCTGCTGATCGCGATAGCAGCTGTTTGGACTCTCTTCCGGCAGCCACCTGTCGTTTCCAGGCTGGTCTGGGCAGCCATACCAGTCCAAGTCCACGGCATGAGCGGTGCTGCCCCTCTTCCATCTGCTGGGGCGAAGATCGTGTCGTATGGTGCAAGCGGCGTGACGGCGGCAACTGCCTCCCTGATGGAGTAAATAGAAACAGCTGTGAGCCGCAAGTTGCCCGAGAGCCGGCCCGCCATTGGCGACTCATGGAGACCGGACGGGGTAGGTGGGTACGCAAATCGAGAGCCACTGTGGCACAAAATGTGGCACAAAATCAGGCCAAACATTGCCCTGCTCGACAGCGGACCGGCGTGGTGCATGATGCGGGATACATGATGCATGGTGGGCGAGCCAGGAGCATGCGCGGCAGGCGTCTTTGGTCTTGGCGAGCTGGAATGCAGGAGAAAAGAGTGGGCCTGACCGGGGATTGAACCCGGGACCTCTCCGACCCAAACGGAGAATCATACCGCTAGACCATCAGGCCAGTTGCTGATATCACATTGAAAGGAGCAGACGCCACAGTAATGCATCGAAGGAAGCAGCGGTTCACAAGAAACAGAGTCGTGCAATGAGAGCGAATCTATCAAAACAATTTATTTATCTGACTCTCATCACGCTGTCTTCCATGCCCTAGTGGAGAGGAACCTGGACTCCCTTTTAGTCCTTTGGATCTGGTGTACAATATTGTCCTGTCGTGCTCGTTAGACAGCATTGCAGCCATGAAAAGTAGCCGACAGAGGAAGGTGACAGAGGAAGCGACAGAAGAGGTGACAGAAGAGGCGACAGAGAAGGCGACAGAGGAGGCTGCTCGGAGTGCGTGAATGGTCAAAAGGTAGGAACAGCGAGAGGAGCACGAAGAAAGGAGCATGCTTGTATAAGCTGGCGAGAGTAGCGTGATGGCCAGAGAGGCGGGTTGGGTGGCCGGAGTGGGGGGAGTGGCTTTAGCCTCCTCATCATTGTCACTCTATAATTCAACGATGGCTCGCACTGTAGGTGGCAATGCCCCGGCGGCGAGAGGGCAAGGCAGGACTAAGCGCTAGCCATTGTCTCGACAACGATCGACCGCACTGCACAGGATCATGTGCATAGTCTCGAGTCGGTCTATGCTTTCAGGCAGAGGCACACAAGATTGCCTCGACAGCTGTCCGCTGGGGATGCCGGCACACTGCATTAAATCCATTTGAGCTGTCAAAACAACCACCTACTTGCATTCCACTCAAACCTGCCATTGCACTTTCGTGCCTAATGCCTGAGCCTCTGGTCTGCAATGTTGTCTATCGACCACGACGTGGCAAAATAAGGACTATGTCCAGCTTTAGTCCTAGGTCTGGCTTAGCCTTAGCTTTGGCTGTACTCTCTCGCCCATGGTCTATCGACTCGAGCACTCATTTCTTTAGGGGCGATGCGGGTTTAAAAACAATTCTCATCTCCAACGTGTCGTCTGGAGATGGGAATCGAGAAATTTTTAGAAGCGTACCGCCTGGCGATTGGCCGAGGGCAGCTTCTAAAAATTTGTCGAGCTTCTAAAAATCTTTCGATTCCAGTCTCCAGGCGACAGAGGTTTGGAGACAGGAATTGTCTTTTTAAAAACTGCAGGCCCGTTATGCGTTGTTTTTTTTTTTTAAACGAGAGGCGAAGAAGGGTTGCGGCTCAAAGCAGCAGTGTAGCTTCGACTGGCCGTGGGAAACCTAAAATGCAGCGCTCCAGGCAAGAGCTCGCCAGCAGCATAAGCACACCGTGGACCGAAGCAGTGAGCTAGACGGCCACTCTGGCTGTGGCACGACCCATCCGGATATCGATTGTTGCTGTTGGAATGTCGGTGACGCACCGCTGGTTGGACAGCAAAGACCAGCCGTCGTGTTTGAGGTGGTTGCTGTGGAGCGTCGCAAGCAAGCAAGCCGCCACTACGGTGGTTGTTGGCAGCCAGACGGCGTTCACTGTGGGATGTACAGTGTCGCTGGCAACAAGCAGACAAGCAGACATGCAAGTGGACGAGCAGGCAGGCAAGTAGATGAGTAGGCCAGCAGGCAAGCAAGCAGATAGGCAAGTGGATAGGCAAGCAGGAAGGCAAGCAAGTGGATAGGCAGGCAGATAGGCAAGCCGGCCGGCATATAGAATGATGCCACTTGGGCAACAGTGCTGTTAGCTTCGTCGACTTTGTTGTCTCTTAAACAATGGCTGCTCAATGGTTGAGTAGGGCAAGTGCAATGGATGTGTTCAATTGCAGCAATTTAACAATGTTGGAGGGTACCTCCAACAGCCGCTTTGGCAATGTGTATTGCAAGAATCGAGCAGCGTCGAGAGCGAGGCCAGGAATCAAGCTTGTGGCTTTCAACGGTCTTGTCTGCGACACAAGCAAGCAGACAGGCAAATGGAGGACGGCCAAGCAGGAGAAAAAAGAACAAAGGCCAAACCGAGATTCGAACTCGGGTCACGGGAATCAGAATCCCATGTGATAACCACCTACACTATTCGGCCGTCGGCTCCTTCTCTTCTGGATCGCAAACCAACAGCGGTGCAGATGACGGACTGCCGGACAGCGCGATCAAAGGCGCGTGTGTAGTGCGGCGAACTGTTTTTGAGCAAGATCGTCACCACGAATGTCGTCCGTAACTCAAGGCTCCTTTTCTCTTTCCCTCGCCGCTTTT